AATGTTTAATAAAATAAATTATAAAAATGTTCTACAATTATTGATTTGGTTATGTATTATATACTTACATATATATATATATACACTCACAAACTGACAGAATAAACAAACAGCATATAATTAGTTAAATTTATTTTATTGAACAAAGTAATACATCAAGTATATGTAAAAAATAATTATAATAATAATAAAAGTATTATGAACTATCAGTTAACCACTGTTTCAAACACATTACTTTGTATAAACTACACACTTTGTGGTTGTTCATATGTCTGATACAACGTGGTTGGAATTCTTCACATAATTTTCGTAGTGGTGGGCACTCTTCTTCGATTTCGTAAACATTTTGCCCGGGTAAATAATTTTGCAATATTTGTTTTTTCTGCANAAGCCTTTCACGTAAATACTTTCACACAGTAGCAGTGCCATTATTCTTGACAACTCGGAATATTCGACGTCATCGATATTTGCGTCTAAACCTTGATGATATTTTTTTACCCAGTAGTTGATCTTCGTATCGTCTTCGGCGGCGAACGATTTTGAAATTTTGAATGTCCAGTGAGCGAGAGACATTGAGTTCAAATCTATAGCGGATATTTCGTTGATCACTAACGAACGATTGGTCGCCACCACCCCTTGTATATCGACCATCATTGCCGTGAGAAATCTGTTATCGGTATCNGCCGTGAGAAATCTGTTATCGATATCCATGAGTTGTGTTCCGGTCCAAAACCCAACCATTTAACGTAACATTTATTTCCGCGTGTACGCAACACTCGTTCTACAAGATACGTCTCCGGATACTGTGTGCGAGTCAACTCTTCNGAATACTGTGTGTGACTCAACTCTTAGGTGTAAAACGTACCCTGAATGGTATTCCCCTGGTTATCTTCCAAATAATATGTTGGCGGCAATGTACGTTTGACCTTGATTACGGTGAACAGTTCACTACTCCAGTTGGGCAAATAGCCCTTGTCAAACACGGATTTCGTTTTGCTAATTCTAACTTTGTCGCCTACTCGAAATTTAATTGGTAAATTATAGAGTATTTTTCGTAATTTAATGCGTACTGCACTGGGATTCCGAACGGCTTGTGCCGGTGTCATGCCAATAGTTCTGTGTACGTGTTTGTTGTTATAATCGTTGACCAGATTTGGTAACATATCCAACCATTTTTATGATCCTCGAGCTGTAAAATCACGTCACATTAACGTCTTCAGCGTGCGTTTGAAACATTCCACGAGACACGCTTTTAACGTTGTAAACGTTGAATAATAATGAATCCCATACCGTATCATTAACGCCTGAAATTGTTTGTTGTAGAACTCGGTACTACGATCGGTTTGCAAAAGTTTTGGATAGTATCCAAGTTTCAGGATGTCCGCCATTGCGGTTGTTACATCTCGTGCTGTTTTACTTTTCAGTGGTACGGCCCACGCGTATTTTGTAAAACCGTCCACGCATGCTAAAATGTACCGGTATCCACGATCCGCGTACGTAGTCATCTCCACTAAGTCGGCATGCCATAAATCATTAATTCCCTTAATATTAATACGCCGTCGTATACACGTTTTCCGAGCCGGACGGTGTAGTTCGTGTGCAATTTTTGTTTTCATAATGTAGACGGTATGCCCGCAATGTATCTAGCTTCGTGTAGTTCTTCTAGTATGGAAATAATCTCGGGGGACACTCCACTGTTGCCGGCAGACTGAGCTGATACAAGCAACTTCAAACGTTGCACAAGTTCANCTGATACAAGCAACTTCAAACGTTGCACAAGTTCATTGGGGTCGTCCCAATATAAGTATTCTTTCTTGTCGTTGACTTTCAATTGTAAACCCGACCCCTTGATATTACCGAACATTGGTTCGATAATTTCCACATACTTAGCGCCGCCTTTTTTCAACGTCAAATTTCTATTTAAATGAGCTCCGGTTTCCTCCAATATTGTCTTGTACGTTTCCAAATCACTATCGTTGTATGTGATAGGATTTTTCGAAAATAATAAATTAACGAGGCCCATCGACAATGGATATTTTATTCCGTAAACACGAACACTATCTCCATTTACGGTTATATCATTCGTATCGCCCATACTTAACGTACCATCCGGTTGGATTTTCGGGCCATACACTTTATCTCTATTTGGATTTTTAGTCCATTGTTCTATTAGATGCGTAAAAGATAACTCTGAAAAACTGTTACCTTCAGAGTCAAATTGTTGTTGTTGTTTCTGTGTATTAGCATTAATGGCGGTTGCATTAGAAATTTTATTCAATGGTTCGATTATAGGTGCTAGTTTTTGTTGAACGCTAGTCATCGTCTCCGATTCATTACGACGCAACTCTGTGTATTTTCTTCTAATATTCTCTCGGGCTTGATCCAATAACTTCATCGTGGATTCTTTTTTCTTTTTCTCATTATTATTGTTATCATTATTATTATTATTATTTTCAGCATTCATATTGTTACATACGTATCAAACTTATACCTGTATCGACCACTGTCACGTGCGAAATCCGTACATATTACTGCGAAGCCATATTTATCATTTTCCCAACAATGTCTGCAAAATTCTTTGAATTCATTAAATTTCATATCACAACACACGTATTCATCGTACGCGTGTCGCAAATTGACTTCGTCTTGTCGAAACAACACCACCACATTTGCATTATCTCGCAACATTTGTTTTTGTATGCGAGACAGGGTCTGTGAGAGGAAAAAGACATCAACCCTTTTATGTCGACCGCGTGCGAAATAATCGCACATTACATTCTGTTTTTCCATGACCACATCGTCAAAAATAAACACCGAATTGGGTAGAACTAAATCCACGTGTGGTACATCATCGCCATTTTCAAATGTGAACAACTGAATTCCTTCGATTCCTTTCAATACTTGAATTAAAAATTGATATTTGTATTGACCCAAAGACTTGGAATATATATATACGTTTTCAAATCTCAAACCATTCGAATCGCACAAAAGTGTAAAAATTAAATTGGTTTTTCCACAATTTGACGGTCCGCATATGATAGCTCGTATAGTGTTTGGCAATAACTTTCCATGTTTATATTGTTGATGTAGTTGTTGCAAATCTGCTTGATCGTCAAAATTGACAACGGCTAGCGTTTCGTTCTGTTTTTCAAAACGCATCGAAAATAATTTATTTATTTTTCTAGTATAATTATTATTAATTATATTAATATTTAAACAGTAACATATCTTCTTGTGCTATTGAAAATGTTATGGTTTATTAAATTTTGTAATCTTTTGTAATCTTTTGTTTTCCTTTTATACTTTTTTTACTATCACCAGAGAGCTCTTTTGTTTGTTTATTTTATTCTTTTTTTTTTTTACTATAAATATAATAGAAATTTGTATTTTCACATTAAAAGTGAAAATGAAAGAGCAACGGTCGCAACGACGTCGTGGTGTACGACGGAAACGAGGTTCCGGTATTGTAAACTCAGTAATTAACAGTCTTCCGTTCGAAGCTCACGTGCCAGGATATCAGTTCGCGGGCCCCGGAACTAAATTACAAAAACGTTTGATTCGTGGTGACCGTAATATCAATCCATTTNGGTGACCGTGGTATCAATCCATTGGATGCAGCATGTCGTGAACACGATATAGCATACGCCAAGAGTAATTCTCTTAAGGACCGTCATCACGCCGATAAAATTTTAGAACACCAAGCGTGGGAACGAGTGCGTGCCAAGGACGCGAATTTATCAGAACGTGCAGTGGCTTGGGGTGTGACAAATGCGATGAAGTTGAAACGCAAACTTGGTATGGGATTCAAAATAAAAAAAAAAATAAAAAAGTTGTGTCAAATTTACAAATTACAGCACAAAAAGCACTGCTTGCAGCCAAACGCAAGATCAAGACGACTCGCATGCACGTACCTCGCATAATAAATATCCCGAAAAGCGGAGGAGTGTTACCATTAATTCCTATTTTTGCCGGGCTGTCGGCACTAGGAGCATTGGTCGGTGGTGCTGCAAATGTTGTAAAGGTTGCCAATGAGTTCAACCGTAGGGGTGTTAAAGTAGGAAATGGAATGTATATTCGACCATACGGTACCGGATACAAGATTGATAAAAGAAAGCAAACAAGCAAAAAAATAAAATCAAAAAAACGAACAAAAAGTGTAAATACATAACAAAAAAACTAATATCTCAGCTACCCAATCGTGCATTATTTGATNAATATCTCAGCTACCCAATCGTGCGTTATTTGACGATGAAATAAAAAATTTCGCATGTCACGTGCTCGATTCTCATGTATTTCGCGGTGTATTTTGTCGTGATACGCTGCCCCGTACACCACCTCGTATAAACGAGATGGGCGTAATCAATTTGGATTTATCGAGCAATCGTGGCACTCATTGGGTGGCTTACAGTAAACGTGGTAATCACGTAAAGTACTTTGATAGTTTTGGCAATTTACCTCCTCCATTGGAAGTAATACGGTATTTTAAAAGATGTACTATCACGTATAACTACAGAAGCTATTAGACATTTGACCAGATCAATTGCGGACACTTGTGTTTAAAATTTCTCATGAAAAATGTCGTCAAGCGTATAAGCATCGTCGCTGACAGTTAGCGGTAAAGGATCAATAATCGAATGTAATTTTAATCCACACATCGATGTTTCCGATAATTGTGAAATCGGACTGT